CTGAGTGAGAAGATAATTCATGAAATTTGAGAGATGTAGTCATTGGATGCATTTTGTGCCAAAACAATGATAACTGGTCCTCAGTTTAGCCCACATAGACTTCTGTTGTGCTCACTGTGTGAGGAGTTTTGCAAACGTGACCTAAGTATTGAGAAATGTGTCCTAGCGTCTGTAAAAAACTGTATTGTCTGGTATGCAAAGTTCATATCCTGAGTATAACTACTGTGTAAGTTTGTAATTATTTAATATCAAAGCATAAGGTGAGATGCTATGGGCAGGAGATTTATTTGTTTATTTATTAGTTTATATGAATAGAAGATTTTTGGCTTTTTTTGCCTCAACATGTTCTTTTCAAATCTTTTTCTCAAAATTGCACAAAAAGGTTTTCAAAATTATCCACTGTAAATAATCAATGTTGATATTTGTTATCCCTTTAAAGCTAAGTGTATCAAATATGATACTTTGCATACTAGATTTTGAGACAATAAATATAAAAAAAAAATGGCAGATGTGGCATATATGACAGAAATCCAAACTAAAATCTGCAAATAATATATTTTTTAAATTATTATATTGTTAGAAGGTTCAATAAACACGCCAAAAAAAAAAAAACATTTAAAAAACCGCAGTCTGAACTTCAGCAGCACTTACATCCACAAAACTTCACTGTTAATAATCTGGAGCCTGATTTGTATAACATTTAGCACAAGTGGAGTCTATCATCAGTGAATGCTACGTCCAGATGAACAGAATCAACTTTTTTTTGATTTACTTACCTGGATGATTAAACATGCATCAAGACAACATTTAGAACAAAAAACAAAAAGAAAACAAAAACACATTTCTGGGCAGGACTTGTAGAGTGATAAATAGAGATATCCAAAATCTCCTGAATTAAATGTAGTATGCACTTTTTTTTTTACATTATTTTATGCAACTTTCTTTCTGAAAAAGTGAATATTTATTGATAGAACATCATTTGCACATCATATCATAAATTTCAGAAAACTTGTAACTCAATTTCTTTTTTCTTTTTAATTGAAATTCATTTGAAGTCATCATTGTACATCATCATCATTTTCAGAGTTCAGGTGTGTACATGCAAACCAAACAGTTCATTTAATTTGTGCCAATGTGGGAGTTTCTTATTAGTAATTTGAGTCGTGTTTCATGTTGAGCAATGATGTTTGTTCATGCCCCCATTACATTCATCATTCCCATGATAACAACCTGTCATCATTATTCACAACTCGGGACAGTAGAACTCAACATACCCAGCCAAGGTTTCACATCCAGGTCCACAATAGACATCAATCAACTTGCTCTGCCTGATACCCTGTGTGGGGGATACCCAGAAAACTTTATGTCACCATTAAGATGCCTTGAGAATGAGCGCTCAAATGGTCAAAAGGTCATAACCACAACAAGGTCCATTTTTTGAAAAGAAGAACAAGATAAGAGCACTAAATGTAGAGGGAGTTGTGTTTCTGCTCTGATAATGATTGTTTGTGCAATAACAGCATCAGCCAGGCTCATCTGAGAAAATGTTTTCTCTCTGCAGATTGATCGCCGCAGAGATGGGGAAAATCCATTCGATCCAGCCAAAATCCGGTCGGCCAGTCAAACCTGTGCTGTGGACAAAAATGTCTCATTTCCTCAAACTAGTGCAGAGCAGTGTCAGCAGCAGTCCATCTGGGCAGTGGTACATAGGCAGGTACAAGTCATGATAGCCACAGAGCACAATACAATATATAATGCATAATATTTACAATACATCCACTTGTGATTGACCCATTAAGCAGCTGCACTGGACAAAGACAGGAAGATTTACACTATGCAATAACATATGGGCGGTAGCTTTGCTAGAAAAAACACGAACTACACTTTTTGTTTTGCCAAAGAAATATGCTTGGAGAACTGCTTGGCTGTTGATCACCTGGTGGGGTCATTCAAAGTATTGTTGTGTTGCTAGATCAGATCTCACAGATAAGCTCAAGCAGTCCTTTGGCATCAGGTGACAGCAGGTATCATTCCTGTATGGACATTATTAAATTCAAATTCAAATTTTATTTGTCACGTACACAGTCATACACAGTACGATATGTAGTGAAATGCTTGGACAACTGCTCGTGACCTAAAGAAAACAAAAAAAGGAAAAGGCTATGAATAAGATAGGAAATAAATATGAAAAATTAAAAAGGGTAAATTTAACTA